TGGATGGATGGATGGATGGATGGATGGATGGATGGATGGATGGATGGATGGATGGATGGATGGATGGATGGATGGATGGAGATATTATTCTACCTGTACCCCTCCTGTTTGCACAAAACTGAGCTTTTGGTTACAAAAATAAAATGCATGCACTCCAAAGTGATGCATTTTAAAAACATATTTTAGTGGGTCTACACTCAGAATAAGACACTTTAAAGATGCACCAGCCTACTTTGTGCACACCCACACTGCATTATTCTATAGAAACCAGAACAACAAAGCTGTTTTTAACAGCTCATCTGGTTTCTGCCTTTTTTTTAAATAAAACTCTTTACTTGTTTGCTTTTACAAGAATGTCATATTTTATGTTCCATTGATCCATCCATCCATTTTCTTCCGCTTATCTGGGGTCGGGTCGCGGGGGTAGCAGCCTAAGTAGGGAGGCCCAGACTTCCTTCTCCCCAGCCACTTGGGCCAGCTCTTCGGGGGGAATCCCGAGGCGTTCCCAGGCCAGCCGAAAAACATAGTCCCTCCAGCGTGTCCTGGGTCTTCCTCTGGGCCTCCTCCCGGTGGTACGTGTCCGGAACACCTCCCCAGAGAGGCGTCCAGGAGGCATCCTAAACAGATGCCCAAGCCACCTCAACTGGCTCCTCTCGACGTGGAGAAGCAGCGGCTCTACTCTGAGTCCCTCCCGGATGATCGAGCTTCTCACCCTATCTCTAAGGGAGAGCCCAGGCACCCTGAGGAGATTGATATTCAACCATTGATGTTCAACATTATTTTTGTGATCAGTATTGTTATTTCCAAAACGTAGATATTATTGTACACTGAACTGTAAATTATAAATTTAGATGGCAAAATGACCTTCTTGACCATCTTTTAGTATTTTTCAGATATTGATTTAGAGACACAAACAACTACAAATGAATGAGAAATATGTTGCATCACTGCAACAATCATTTAGACACAAAACACTCTGGAATGTCAGCATTGTATATTTCAAGACAGTGCATTTCCATATTTCAGTTAAAATCTCTTGATTACTAGTAGATGTTGCAAACCAAGAAACCAACCAGAAAAGCAGCAGCACTGACATTTACTATTTTTACTGGTTTTGGTGTGGAAGTTTTCAGCCAAGAGGCTTTTTAA